CCCTGATTTCACTTCCACTCTTCCCAAACTTAACAACAAGCTTAATGTTTGTTCATTGCTCTAATTCAAGCTTTGACATTCTTGTGATGACAAAAACACACAACAACAATCATGATCACCACTCAGCAAGACACTGCCACACATCAACATGAACACAACTGTGAGACACAGATCTATCAGGATTATGAAACCTTAACAAGTTTTTTGCACAGTGTTGCCAAGGTAAGCCCATGGTAGCAAGGTCATGAACTTAATTGTCATACCTTGCATTACATGAGTCCCCTTTTGTACAGATCCAAATATATTCATTGTAGGAGGAAAGAACATTCCTGCATTCAAGAATGGTGGGAATTAGATACAGAGGTAGATATATGGAAGAGATGAGGATACGACTGAGTTGGTCCATTCTCTTCATGCTTCAAACCAAGTTAAAGAGGATGTGAAGATTTGTGGGCAAGAGCGAGATAAACTAGACCAGTGGCTGCTCAGCCATAGTGGTTGATTCAGGAGGCTGATGGGCCGGGACATAATGACCGGATATGACAGGTGGTACACGCCCATAATTATGATTATGTGGCTATGTTAAGCCACTCAAGATTTTATGTTTATTCAGCTTGTTTAATGATATTTATCAGAAATTAATTCTCCTATTTTCATGAGAACTGGGCCTGAGGTTGGGGAGGAACAGCATGCTGACGGTTCTGTGTGGCTTTATCAGGGAGGTGTGGCAAGAAAAGTCCCCTTCTAGTGAATGTCTAATAGTGTAGCTAACAAGTGGGGGGGTAGCAACCAGGCACACCTGATAGAGGATCATTTCGGGGGAGGGGGGAGGTGTCATAGGGCAGCCAGTGACACAGGAGCAGCAGCACATACAAAAGAAAAGCCTCTCTTCTGGAAGGGTGAAAATTCCACACGAGAGCGGGTGTTCTGCACCTGAACAGCACCCAGAGGTCAGTGCCAATGTCTCTGTGGGTCTCTGAGGGAATGATTTCCCACAGGGTTCTATTTCATATGTGATTTGGACATTGTCCATTGGTTTATTCAGCCTCAGTTCCCTGAGCCTCTTCCTGTACTATTAGCCCCTTCTGTGTGAAGGTCCTTCTCATCTGTTTGCCAGACCGTGATGAGCATGTCTTGATGCTTCCCATGGCATACTGACTTCTCACTTGCTCCTTTGGATTTTTGGACCATTTATTAAACTGGTTGACTCCTCCTGTCCTGAGGGCAGCTTCAGCCACTGCTTCTAACTCTGGTTGGGCCACAGAGGAGAGTGAGTTGCAGTATTCTTCAGCCCTGGCTTCCTCCACGCAGGGAGTCCCCAGGTAAACGAGGTGAGGCTTTGCATTGATGCACCTGCTGATACGCTGGTGCCGATACAGACCAGTAGGAAAAACTGCAGGTCTCCAGCATTTCTGTAGGAAATTCCAGCTGTCCTCTCTCACGACCTCATCCCTTTCCTGCCACTAACCTCCCCAGACTCCTTCCCAGTCCTTCCTTCCAGGCGGCTCCAGCTACGTCACCTGATGCTCAGTTTCTATTTCCTTCACCGCAGTACAATTTTCTCTTTATGCTTTTCTCCTTGTGGTGTCATCGTCGTAAAGACCTGCCTGCTCCGTTCAACTTTGCTAAGATCTCACTACATTCTAATTAAACTCCTCTGTGTCTGTAGCTCTTCTCACTCCTGAACGTTGAAAGAGCACCAACACTCCACGAGCTGTCAGCGTCCTGTCCCCAAGACCTCCTCATCCGGTGAACTCTTTTCCAAATACATGACTTTAATTTGTCTTATTCTACTAAGTAGCCTTTCTGTCTTCTAATAGATTCCCACTCTGAGTCATACTGCCCACTCAATGTTTTTCCAACTTTTATATGTCTGTCTAAAAAATGTAACTCCCTATTAAACATTCTTATGATTTTTTTTCCTGTCTGACCTGTTTTATTTCTTCCCCTTGTGTTATCCTGTTGCTGTATTACTGTGCTAATAGCAGAGAATTTCATCATAATTTTCAACACAAATCTACGCAATGCCAACTGCTCCAAACTTACCTCCCAAACACCTTTGTCCAGGCTGAGGTGTTATGTATAGAAATAAGACCTTTTGACCTCAGTAAATAGCTTTGACCTATTTCTTTGTCTCTTTGTAGTGGATTTCTGTGTATTTCCACCACTTCCCAAAGCACTTTTAATTGTGGATTCAGTCCCCATCTTTGAACCTCTGTGCCACTTGGCTACCTGAAGGCAAGTTTTCTATTTTCTGCTTAGAAATACATCTCAGCAGGCATCGTTGGGTAGGTAAGGGGAAGCTTAAATTGCCAGTGCAGGCTGTACACATCTTGTGACTTGGCTAGCTGCAACTCAGTAGTGTCCCTAATTGTCACTGTGCCCCTTTCTGCTAAGAGACAACCATGCATTGTGAAGTTTCCCACACAATCACAAACTCTTGGGCTCAAGTGATCCTCTTGCCTCAGCCTCCACAGTAGCTGGGACTACAGGCACCACCACAATGCCCAGCTATACTCTGATAATTTTTAAAGGGAAATGAAATTAAAATGGCCTTCATAGCCCATAAGGGGTGAAGTGGCATCCAAAGACATATTTACTCCTTTCGCTCTCCCAGACTTCCTGACACCTCACTGTGGCTCTGAGCACGGTATCTTTCCTTGACAATCTCATTACTGTGTGGAAGCTCCTTGTTTAATCTCTCAGTGCCCTGCCCATAAGTGATGAATGAAATAATTCAACTAACATCTTGCCAAACGTTACAGAGTCGGTGACAGTATGTAGATTTGAATTCAGATAGTTCTGATTTCAAAGTCTACCGTCATTCACTGCATTAGCCTGGTTTGGAATGGAGTAGTTTTCTGGCAGGGAGGTGCCAGTGTGAAGGGGACACTAAATTTATGGACTTGAGATGGCTAGAAAATGGTAAGGCTATAGGATGTTGTGAAATAAACTTTTAGGCTACTGAGGATGTTAGCAAGGGGTAAGTCTCAGGGTGGGGAGGTTGGCTAGCCAGGACAAAGAAGGTGAAAAACTCCTGGAAGTGAGAAGACAATGTTGCCCCTGATGGTAAGAGGGGAGTGGACGGTGGAAGAAAATTTCCTGAAATTAAAATGAGAATGACCCAGAAAAGATGGTAGAACTAGAAACCGGGTTGGTGCATCAGGCATGAATCACGGTGGCCCTAACTCCTTACCCTGTGCATTGGGAAGCAGAGGACAAGCAGAAGCCTCCTGCAGATGACCTTAGGAGGAAGAAAGACATAATACCCGTTCCAGGGCAGACATACAAGACCAGAACCACGGGACACAGGGGAAGAGGCTGCAGAATAAAAAAGAGGTGAACAAGATGGTTGCAGATAGGGGCAGCGTTTAGTAACCAGGGTAGTGATTCCAAATCCCCAAGGAAGGAGGCAGGAGAATGGGTGGTCGTAGGCAGAACATCTTCCAGACATCAGGAGAAGCAGCGTTATCAGCGTGTACTTACAGACTGAGACAGAAAAAACAACTAGACTCACATGCCAAGTTGTGTGAGTTATAATAAGAATTAAATTGCAGCTTCCTCCAAGTGAAAAGAAGTATAAATCAATCCTTAGGCTCTCTCTTGTTTGTTGAACACTACCATGGGTGTGGACAGGTCCTGGGTATCTTGTCTTGAGGAATTTGCCGTGGTTTGACCTCTATCAGATTCCTTTCTAGGTGTTCAGGTTCACATTTAAAGTACACAGCAGTCTTCATTGTACGGTGAGGAGAGAGAGAGAGGCAGGGCGTTTCTACTTACGAAACATTTCTGTTGGACATGTCACAGCCTTAATGGAAGGTGACAGCAATTGGCTGTTGTTCTCTTGCCTTCCTTATTAAAATCCCCAAACAATTTTTCTCCCAAATCCAGTCTGGGAAGTAAACATATTTATGGAACACCTTTCTAAGATGAAGGAAGAACATCTAACATGTGTATATCGATTTCTTTCTTGTACGCTCTGCTCTGTGTATAATACTTGTTGCCAGGTAACTAGATGATCATGTATCAGGGGTTAAAAAAAAAAAGTCATTTGCCTTTGCAGGGCATTTCTTGGGCTAGAACACTTCATTTCAAAGCAAAACATCCAGGATAAAAGCTCACATACACACAACCATGTTGCTGATTTTAAGCTGGAAAAGAGGGGCTCTTAGACCAATGCTTTCCGCAGGGAAAAAATACAATTTAAATTCATTATAAGCTCTTATTTGTAATGACTAGTCTAAGTTTGTGGCCATACTTCAGTTTTGCAGAAATACATATATAAAAATAGACCTCTATCTGCCCCCTTTGGGTACTTTTCTATAACCTCCCTCAATCTGGACTAAAAAAAAAAATAGTAGCTCAGGCAAGAATTTGATAAGGAGATTTACTAGTGAGATAGATGTTGCATTGTGATGGTTCTGCCAGTCGGGAATAGCCTCAGGGAAATGCCATTTAATGTAACTGAAGAGATGGAATGCGTACATATAATGATAAAGCTGTCATCCTGTCTAGATTAAAAACTGTGTCCTACATTGAGACAGACCGAGGAGGCCCAGGCCTTCTCATATACATGCCTACTTCTCTAATCCCTAACTTTAAGTTGGAATTTTTCCTGAGATTATTGGCTAGCTTCCATTTGCTATAACAACCAACATGGTGTTCTGTGTCCACTGGGTCACCCTTTTTTGGCCAGGCTCATCATGGGGCAAACTCAAACCTCATAGTTCTGCCTCTAGAAATGCAGATCGTTATGAAATGTCATTCTGTTGATCGCTGCGCCCTATAAAGTATGACCAAATTGTAATGGGAATTCAGTCCTGGCTCATTTTTATTCCCCTGGCTAACAGCGAGCACAGTGACAGGCAGAGAGTCAGGCCTCAGGTTAAGCACAGGGGAAGCTTAGGGACTCTATGCAGTTATGATCTTTTTCCCTCTTCTGTCCACAGCCCTCTCCGGATTTCCTGCCCACCCCCCAAAAGAGAATTTTTGTTTGTTACCTCTTACCGACATTTATTTTGGCAATTCTTTTCTGAGAGTCCATCCTCATCCTCCCCCATAATGTCCACGGCTGAAAATATCAAGGCGACCAGGATGGCAAAGCAGCACACCAGGGCAAAGATCACGATGCACTTCTGCTGGGACTGGAAGAGGGAAAAAAAACAGCACCAAAGTCAGTGCGGCCACTTCCACTCAGGGAACCCAACATCTGACAACTCGTCAAAATTCCACAACAAATTGTGGGGGGCTAGAATTACTTTTATCACTGTCAGAGAAAGAAGCGCTGCTCTCTGGGTGAAAAAGCCCAGGACTTTCATGGTTCTCTCTCAACACAGCCTCAGCCTCCCACTAAACATGGGGGAACCTGTTGAATAATTCAAATGCGATCTCCAGAATTCTGAACTTGTTCTCTAATTTCTACTCAAAAACAGTCCAGAAAAGATCACTATGAGATCTACCATTGCAAATTAAAAATTAAACACCAGGGCGGCGCTGGTGGCTCAGTGGGTAAGGCACTGGCCCCATATACTGAGGGTGGCACATTCAAACCCAGTTCCGGCCAAACTGCAACAAAAAAATAGCCGGGCGTTGTGGTAGGCGCCTGTAGTCCCAGATACTTGGGAGTCTGAGGCAAGAGAATTGCCTAAGCCCAAGGAGTTGGAGATTGCTGTGAGCTGTGATGCCACAGCACTCTACTGAAGGTTAATGAGTGAAACTCTGTCTCAAAAAAAATAAATAAATAAAAATGAAATATCAATGGATTATTTAACTGACATTATTCATTTCAAAACACTGAATACAAAGTACTTGAATGTCATGCCTTTATTAGATATGTGCTATCTCAAATACAGAAATAGAGATACATAATCTCTAACTAGGGAAAGAGTGTTCAACTTGAAAATTAGAAGTACAATATATTTTTAGGCTGGGCTTTTATACACTTAACAAGCTTTTATGAGGGATTTGTACCCATGCATCTGAAGTGTACGTGCAAAAATTAAGCAGAAAATAAAATCATTTCTAATTTTTTCATTTATTTACCATGAGAAAGTTTTTAAAACAAAATCATTGCCAAGCTGTAAAAATAACACTTGTTATGTGTACAATTCTTAATACCTACAAAAAGCAGGATGTTCTTTACCAATTATCCGCCCTGACAAAAGTGGAATTAAATTAGAAATCAAAAATCTGAAAGATCTCTAGAATAACCTCAAATATTTGCAAACTAAGCACATTTACACAGTTCATGGGTCAAAGAGCAAATCAAAAAGAGAATTTGAAAAACTTTGAGCTGGATGAAAATATTAATAAAAGGCAGTTATGTCAAAATGTGTGATACTCTGCAAAAGAAATGCTTATAGGGAAATTCATAGCACTAAATGCATGTAAGTAAGGTCTTAAATGATCTAAAAATATATCTTAGAAGGCAGAAAGAAAAAAGACAAAGTTAAACTCAAAATAGGCAAGGGAATGGAAATGAAAGAAAAACAGGAAACACACCCACAAAGTTGGTGAAACTAACGTCTGATTTTTTGGGAAGATCAAGAAAACTGATAAACTTTTAGCCATACAGATAAAAAAGAGAAAGAGCAAAGACACAAGTTGTGAATCAAGAGTATGTCACTGCTGAGACGACACAAAATAAAAGGATAATACCAGGCCTGTATGCTGGGGTGGTGGGTTCAAACCCGGCCCCGGCCAAAAACTGCAAATAAATAAATAAATAAATAAAAACAATAAAAAAGAAAAGGATAATAAGGGAATACTGCAAACAAATTCACGACAAAAAGTTGTTAGTGTAGGTGAAGTGGCCAAGTTTTTTGCAAGATAAAATTATCACTCAAGAAAGACAGATACCTTGAAAACCCTTATATCAATCAAAGAAAATGACTTTTTAGTTAAAAACCTTCCCATAGAAAAACTATAGGTTTAGGTGGCATCACCGTATTGTCAAACGTTTGAGAAATAAATAATGTCAGTTCTACACAAAAGCTCCCAGAAAACGGAAAAGGGGGAAAAACTTCCCCGTTAATTCTATGAGATCAGCATTATCTTGAAACAAAAACCCAACAAAGACTTAAGGAAAGAATTTTTTTGTCCACACAATTTTGAAAACCACGCCTCCACACTCATTTATTTAGCAGATTACTTAATATCTTCTCTGTGCAAAAAAAGAGCAGAGAGGTCTGCAATCGTCATAATCTCAACCGAAAACAGAAAGTCTCAGATTCCTTATTAAAAACAAGGTCTCCATCTACCTCAGCTTGCCTTTAATTGAAAGATGAATCATCAGTTCCATCGTTTTTTTCATTTTTCCATGCCTACTGAAGTTCTCTCAGTGGCCCCAAAGTGTGTTTCTGCAAATTCTCACTATTTTTGTTGGAATAATGATGAAAATAATCTCTGCAACAACCTAGCTAATTGTTTGCTTCTCAAGGAATTGTACAGTCATTGCTTGATATGCACTGGCTAATTTTCTACCTATTAGTCTTTTCACTAAATTAAGCTCTTAGAGTTTTAGGATCTTGCCTAGATCCATGATGCCTGTCAGATGTGTTCAATCAATATTTGTTGAATGGGTGATGAAAAAGTGAATAATTTAAAAAAAAATAGCAAAGGCTAAGAAATCACAATGATGATTTTTGTGTTTTATAGTTCTGGTTATTTATTTTCTACTTATAAACTTCTCCACCGATTTTCATAACAGAAACAAGTTGATTTGTAAAATTAAACACACAGAGAAAGTAAACACCCTGAGCCCCTATTAGCTTATTTAAGAAAAAAAAAATAACAATAAAAGGGCATCTTTTCTAAAATAGCAAGACAAGTTTAAATCAAGAGATCAACAGAGCAGAAGGCCCTTTATATGGTCATCATAATAATGATAATTCTGTAATATAGTTTGATAACTAAAAGGACAAGAAATTTTGAAGATTTACTGGAAAGTAGATTGTCCAAGAACAGCAAACTCTTAAGACACACACAGAAAATTCAAACTGCTATAAATAAAGGACAGTGTAATGCCTGGAGGTAACAGGTGCCACAGAGGACAGAAGTGCCCTTCCCATGGTGTAGAGGGCTGAGACGGAGTGGTTAGTGGCTGTGATTGTGACCCATGTCATAGAAGAGTCCCTTCCACTTGAACAGGTCAGTTCTGGTGTCTCCTACCCTCCCTTCCAGGCATAACTAATTCCTACAATAGGGAATCAGGGATTTCCTCTGTACTCACCATAAAGCAAAACGAGTTATTTCAAATGTTAGTGAATGAACACTCTGACAATGTTAGCATGAAGGAGCTAATATTTAATAGCTAAGACAGTAGCCTTTCACAATTTCTATCCTTCCCTCAAATATAAATAAAGGTGAACAAAAAAATGACAAAGAAATTGTCAACTGGTCTTTGATAAACTGAGGGCTATTTTGACAATCTGTAATAAGCTTTGAATCTGTTAAAGCATCAAGGTAAGTCCCAGTGCCTTCAATTTACTGTGACAGGAGATTTATTCTGAAGTCTGTCTGTTACAATCCTTTTGGTTCCTTTCTAAATTATCTGTTTTCTAGTCACTGCAAAGCTTGACGTTTCATCTAGTTAAGGGGAAAAAACACCGCTGACCAAACTCAACTCAGCTTTTTATTTTAAGCTAATAAAAAGCAAAGAAAAAGTCAGGATGGACTTTGGGTATAACAGGGAAGGATGCAAAAACCAAAATTTATCTTTGGCATCACCCATGTTCAATGTCTCCCTTATTTTTAAAAGGAAACACACACACACACACACTTTCATAGGAGTAATGAAAGGCTTCCAGTCTGGATGGGAGGGAACCTTGAAACCATCTGATCCAACTTCGCAGTCAGTGCAGGGAGCTGACCTTCTGTTCTCCTAACCACATCACCCCTTTCCACTTGGACACTAGCTACCAAAAGCTCCCTACTTAATGAGACAGCACTAAAGCCTACAAAGTTCATACAGACATGGGAAGACATGTGACCAACAGGAGCCCACTGAATCCTCAATGTCAGGCACCCATCCCAACTGCTGCCCGCTCCTCCTCACCTCAGCCTTAACTCCCTTCATCCTGACAGCTCATGTAGTGAGAATAAGATTGAGTCGTCAGGCCAGGGCTGAGAGGACACAGCCGGCCTGGCTGGTCCTACGTGACCTTCATGTCCTGTCTTCCATCCTTGTGGTTTTCTAAATTCAGCTTTAACCTAAAAGTGTATATCTTGAGTCATTTAGGGTGACTGATTTAGGACTTTAACTTTGGAATTAGAAATGTTTGGGGTCATGGGCTATGCCAATTATTGTTATTTAAAGTAGGGGTTAATTACTATTGTTTAAGGGTTAGTATGGTTCTTGCTTTTAACTTTTATGTATAAATCTGGGGTTTTAGAAATGAAAGACAGAACAGCTTCTCGCTGTTCTCCAGAATTGCTGGCCTTCTGATAATAAAGCTAGTTGGACCTATCCCCCATCTCTGCATATTGGAGGGACAGGCGGCTGGACACTCTTCATCAGGTAACACACCCTAGGGGCTGTTTCTCCAGCCTGCCTTATCCTTTTTCTCCCTCCTTCTTTGTCTCTGCCTGTCTCTCTCTCTCCCCCTTCTCCTCTGAATTCCCTCACTGCTTTCCAAGCCTGCCCCTGCTCTTGCTCTCTTCCAAACCTCCCTGCTTACCCCCACACCTCAGTCTTCCTTTGAGTCAATGCAGCTGACCATTCATCCACAGCTGAGCTCACACGGGGCTTTCCCTACAGAACACACCAGCCTTCTGCTCTGGTCACACAGGGTTTACAAAAATAAAGACGGTAACATCCTGGGGCAAAGGATCAAGAAATGCAGTTTTGTAATATAGATGAATGAGGTCACTAATACTGGAAGAAAGACTGCATTTTTAGACACTTTAACAGATGATTAGCATCACTATAGGAAAGAAAAAATGCAACGTGCTGCTTTTGCAAATCCCTGGCCCTGTGGAGCACTTCCTATAGCCTTTCTCTCAGTCTACAGGCAGTGGAAGTGGCTAGACCCAGGGTGTCCATCCTGCAGGCTGCAGGCTGTGTGCTGATTTCATGAGGACTTTTCTTGTTTATCTGTGGTCTTGGTATCATGAAAAGTTTGCACAGGCCTTTTTTTGTTTGTTT